ACAAAACTGCAGGAGTCGCCATAGGTAATGCCTTCTTCCTCACAGCTGTCACTAGTGAAGGCAGGGGGAAATGGCAAAACTTGACTGCAAAGTCCAGACTTTGTCATCTGATATCTTTTGACTCCGCTGACATGTCAGTAAAATTCAAAAACACTCAATGTAAGAATTTCATAAAGATTTCATCTTAATGAAATACTATATTTTGGGGGAAGTGTGACAGAGCTGCTTTGACTAAGAAAATGTTAGGGTTTAGTCATATTCTGCAGGCATCATCTATAGCAAGTTAAACAAGTCTGATGTGTTTATACAACACCAATGAAAGCAAAATATTAAAATACTGTATTAGAAGATTGTGAGCTCTCTTAAAGGACCACTCTAGGCACCCAGACCACTTCAGCTTAATGAAGTGGTCTGGGTGCCAGGTCCAGCTAGGGTTAACCCATTTTTTTATAAACATAGCAGTTTCAGAGAAACTGCTATGTTTATGAATGGGTTAAGCCTTCCCCTATTTCCTCTAGTGGCTGTCTCATTGACAGCCACTAGAGGCGCTTGCGTGCTTCTCACTGTGATTTTCACAGTGAGAGCACGCAAGCGTCCATAGGAAAGCATTGTAAATGCTTTCCTATGCGACGGGCTGAATGCGCGCGCAGCTCTTGCCGCGCGTGCGCATTCAGCCCAGGAGGAGGAGAGAAGGAGGATCGGAGGAGGAGAGCTCCCCGCCCAGCGCTGAAAAAAGGTAAGTTTTTAACCCTTTCCCCATTCCAGAGCCGGGCCGGAGGGGGTCCCTGAGGGTGGGGGCACCCTCAGGGCACTATAGTGCCAGGAAAACGAGTATGTTTTCCTGGCACTATAGTGGTCCTTTAACCCCTTAAGGACACATGACATGTGTGAAATGTCATGATTCCCTTTTATTCCAGAAGTTTGGTCCTTAAGGGGTTAAGCAGGGCCTTCTTCACCTCATAAGACATTAAAATATCAACAACGTTCTCACGAAAAAAAAAAAAAAGATTACAATTGTGAGGAATAGTATATGCGCTGAGAAATACTTGGGGACTTTATAAATAATAATAATTCAAAGATAATTAAAATTTTTAGGCCGAAAAAGACAAAATGAAAACACAAAGTTATTTGTTTCCGACAGTCTGTTCTGTCCATAATGACCTAACTGACTAGGTTTATGTTGCATTGTTTGATGTATAGCTCTTTACCACAATGGTTAGTTTCTGTCATTCACTTTTATTATAAATTTCCTTTTTGCCTATGATTTTTTTTTTTGTGTGTGTGTATGGAATCGCTGTTCATTTTTTCCCCTGTCTGTTCCCCAGCCAATTAAAAGAAACAAAAAACAGCATGTATAAAAATAACTAGGAAGCGGGTGTGTCTGTGGCAGTCATCAACCACCCAGTGCCTGACTCTGAAAGGTTTATAAATAGACAAAACTCTGAGGATTGTCTGCATCCCATTTATGCCAGGCTTTGACAAACTCCAGAAACCAGGAAGATAAAGGGTGTTACTGCTGGCAAATGTATTTTGAGTGTATTCCAAAGAACAGTATGCATGCATTCTTACCTGGCACTTAAAAAAAAACCATCATGACTCAGAAACACCTGCCAGTCTCCCAAACTGCACAAATATCAGTCAAAACCTGGCATAAAATGTGATTGAGGGAACAGTACGTTCAACATGGGATAAAATAGATATGCATAAATAATAGAGGGTTTAAAGGAATACTCCATTGTTCAAACAAAAAAATAAATACAATTATTTAGTAGATATTCTCCCAATGAAAACATGCATGCATTTACTTATGCATTTTTTCCTTTGGTTGATATATATAAAAATGGCTTGCAAAAGCCGCAGATCTCTTGTCTGCAGTCTTTGCAAGCCCCTCCCCTTTTTCTTGTGCCAGGGAAATGACAAAGCCTCTTATTTTGTAGGCTAGCTGGGAGTCCACAGACATGGAGAGAAGGCAGGTGTGCCCTAGCAGAGTGCTCATTCCACTTCTGTTTACTCTGTGGAGCTAAAGGACGCAGAACATAACTTCCCCGGCTGTGAATGAGGTTTTTTTGCAATTATTTACCCAGATCACTTCTGCCCATTGGAGTGGTCTGGGTGTCAACTCCAACTACCCTTAACCCTGCAGCTGTAATTATTGCAGTTTTCATAAACTGCAATAATTACATTGCAGGGTTAACTCCTCCTCTAGTGGCTGTCTACTAGAGGGCACTTCCTGGTTTCCAGCACCGGTTCAATTCCCCATAGGAAAGTATTGAAATTCTTTCCTATGGAGAGGTCTAATTGCCGCGCATGCGCATTAGATCTCCCCTGCCAGCGGCTGCGCAATCGGTCTCACCCGCCGGATGACGTCGGCGGGGGTCTCAGGTAAGTCACTGAAGGGGTTTTCACCCCTTCAGCAACATGGGATGGGTGGTGGGAAGGAGGGGACCTGTAGTGCCAGGAAAACGATTTGTTTTCCTGGCACTGGAGTGTCCCTTTAACCCCTTCAGGACCGAGGACGGTTCAGCAACGGGAGCACCGCCGATCGCCGCCGGCGATCGGGTAAGTACATTGGACTGTTAGGACGGTTCAGGACCGTCCCCGGTCGGCAATGGAAAAATGCCGATGACGGTCCTGAACCGTCCTAACGGTCCAATGTACTTACCTGATTACCGTCGTTCCCCCGGCGGCGATCTGCGGTGCTCCCGTTGTGGGGAGACTGCCTGGAGCCCAGACAGTCTCCTCATGGCGGATTAGGACCCCTGTGGCCATGTGATCACTCAACAATAGGTGTCCATGTGTCTGCCTGCGCTGACAGGCAGTCTCCCTGCATGTGTAAAATCATAAAAAAAATAAAAAAGTTAAAGTTAATAAAAAATTATAATAATTATATATGTGTATAAAAATATGATATATAGACATATTATATTTAATATATGTCTATATATCATAATGTCTTACTAAGTGTATTTTTATATTAATATGTACATATATTAATATAAAAATACACTTATAATTAAATTACACACGTGTATATATATATATATATATATATATATATATATATATATTGTATATAAATATTATAAAATACAAATAAGTAATTTAAATTAAATAAAAACATGTAAAAATAATAAAAATTTAAAATAGAGATATATATATATATATATATATATATCTCTATCTATATGAAATTTTATTCTAACTGTATTTTGATAGTAATACATATATCAAAATACACTTAGAATGAAATTGTATATATATCTATGTATATATAAATAAAAATATACAAAATTACATAAATAATTATATAAATATACACGTAGACTTCAAATATATAAATATGCATATATTTAAATTCTACGTGCCTATTTATGTAATATTTTTACATAATTAAGTAATTTTATTGATTGCAATTTGAGGGACCTCCCTGCCAGCCCAGGCCAAACGTCCAGAGAATTTAATTTGCTAGCACTATATTTTACCCTGTAACTTTCTATGACACCCTAAAACCTGTACATAGGGGGTACTGTTTTACTCGGGAGACTTCGCTGAACACAAATATTAGTGATTCAAAACAGTAAAACATATCACAGCGATGATATTGTAAGTGAAAGTGACTTTTATTTGCATTTTTCACACACAAACAGAACTTTTACTGATGATATTGTTGTGATACGTTTATCTGTTTTGAAACACTAATATTTGTGTTCAGCAAAGTCTCCCGAGTATAACAGTACCCCCCATGTTCAGGTTTTATAGCGTTTTTGAAAGTTACAAGGTCAAATATATGGGTCAAATATTTTTACATTGAAAAAGGCCAGGTTGGTTACGTTGCCTTTGAGAGCGTATGGTAGCCCAGGAATGAGAATTACCCCCATGATGGCATACCATTTGAAAAAGAAGACAACCCAAAGTATTGCAAATGGGGTATGTCCAGTCTTTTTTAGTAGCCACTTAATCACAAACACTGGCCAAAATTAGCGTTCAATTTAGTTTTTTACTTTTTTCACACACAAACAAACATGAATGCTAACTTTGGCCAGTGTTTTCGACTAAGTGGCTACTAAAAAAGACTGGACATACCCCATATTGTATACCCTGGGTTGTCTACTTTAACCCCTTAAGGACGGAGCCAAATGTACACATTGTGAACGAAACAAAATGTAAACAAAACCTGGCATTTGCGCTACATGTCTGTCCAACCGTAATACACCTCTTTCATATTAAATAAACCCAACCTTATTATATATAATTTTATTCAGGGGAAACAGGGCTTTCATTTAATATCAATTATTTAGCTATGAAACATAATTTAATATGAAAAAAATGGGAGAAAATAAGATTTTTAAAAAAATTTTTAGTTCTACATGACATTTTAACGGTCAATGTCATAATACTGTTTGCTTTTACTGCAATGAAATACACATATTTGTATTCAGCAAAGTCTCACGTGTAAAACAGTACCCCCTATGTACAGGTTTTATGGCATTTTGGGAAGTTAAAGGGTCAAATATAGCACGTTACATTTGAAATTGAAATTCGCCAGATTGGTTACGTTGCCTTTGGGACTTTATAGTAGCCCAGGAATAAAATTTACACCCATAATGGCATACCATTTGCAATAGTAGACAACCCAAGGTATTGCAAATGGGGTATGTCCAGTCTTTTTTAGTAGCCATTTGGTCACAAACAGCACTTTTATTTTGTACGTGTATTTTGATATAAATATATATATTAATATCACAATACAGTTAGAACGAAATAACACACATCTATATATTTTTTAATTATTTATTTTTAATTATTTTTTTAATTTTAACGTATTTACATTTTTTTATATTATATATAAATATATATATATATAAAAAACAATAATTATATATATTTAATCAGTATCAGTCTACGTGTAATTTGATATTAATATATATATATATATAAATAGTAAAATACACCTTGACAGTGTATGTGTGTGAGTGTGTGTGTGTGTGTGTGTGTGTGTGTGTGTGTGTGTGTGTGTGTGTGTGTGTGTATATATATATATATATATATATATACACACACACACACACACACATATATACATATATGATCTAAGTATATTAATTTTTTTTACACTTATTAACTTTAATTTTATTTCCAGCCAGCAGGGTGACTACCTGTCATTACAGGCAGTCCTCCTGCTGGCAATGCAGCAGGCAGCTAACCCGGCCATGTGATTGTGAGGTCCTCGCAAGGACCTCACTCTCACATGGCCGGGGGGGGGCTGCAGGAGGAAGGATCTGCCGCCGGGGACTCCCTGGGAGTCCCCCCAACTGCGATCACCGTCGTGGGATCGCCGGGTAAGTAAAAAAACCCGAGGGTGTACTATTACGCCCTGCGGCGTTTAGAGCCGCTTAGAATAGGGCGTAATAGTACGCCCTCTGGTTTTAAGGTCTTAAATTACAATAAATGTGTTTAGATATCAGTATGTGTGAATGAGATACATTGTCTTGTTCTAATTTACATTTTAGCTGCATAAATTCTTATTAGTAATCTGGGCGGTCATCGGATATTTTGGGGCCCCTTACACAGCTCAAGGCCTGGGCCTACAGGGCTCTTCCCCGAATCTGCCCACCCCTGAGCAAAGTAAAGTGGATGTGGTGTGTTTATTTGTGTGAGGTATGTGTAGTTTGTGCTGTGTGTTTGTAGTGGATGCAAGGTGTGTGTGTAGTGGATGTATAATTAATTTCTGGTGTACAATAGGGACTTTTTGGGAAGGAAGCATTTTCTTTTTTATGTAAAAGTTATATATATTTCATGTGGTATGTAGAAAAATATGCCCTGGTGCAATCCCACGCTGGGTATAGACAATGAATAAAGAAGAGATGCACTCTGTGGTCTTTTAGAAATAATTACTGGTATTTAATGTCCAACATAATTAAATGTCCGATCGACGTTTCGACCTCTTCAGGTCTTCCTCAAGATCTCTCTCTCTCTCTCTCTATATATATATATATATATATATATATATATATATATATATATATATATATATATATATATATATATATATATATATATACACACACACACACACACACACATATATACATATATACACACACACACACACACACCCCCCTATATACACACACACTGAGCAAAATTATAAACGCAACACTTGTTTTTGCCCCATTTTTCATGAGCTGAAATCAAAGATCTAAGACCTTTTCTATGTATACAAAAGGCCTATTTCTCTCAAATATTGTTCACAAATCGGTCTAAATCTGTGTTAGTGAGCACTTCTCCTTTGCTGACAATCCATCCACCTCACAGGTGTGGCATATCAAGATGCTAATTAGACAGTACGATTATTGCAGAGATGTGCCTTAGGCTGGCCACAAAAGAAGGCCACTCTAAAATGTGCAGTTTTATCACTCAGCACAATGCCACAGATGTCGCAAGTTTTGAGGGAGCGTGCAATTGGCACGCTGACTGCAGGAATGTCCACCAGAGCTCTTGCCCGTGAAGTGAATTTTCATTTCTCTACCATAAGCCATCTCCAAAGGCTTTTCAGAAAAATTGGCACTACATCCAACCAGCCTTACAACCGCAGACCATGTGTAACCACACCAGCCCAGGACCTCCACATCCAGCATCTTCACCTCCAAGATCGTCTGAGACCAGCCACCTGGACAGCTTCTGCAACAATCGGTTTGCATAACCAAAGAGTTTCTGCACAAACTGTCAGAAACCGTCTCAGGGAAGCTCATCTGCATGCTCGTTGTCCTCATAGGCAGGGCCGGACTGGCCCACCGGGATACTGGGAAATTTCCCGGTGGGCCGTCGGCACCTGGGGCCGGGCAGACACCTGGGTCTGCTGGCGGCCGCTGGGGGACTTGTGCTGGCTGCCGCTGGGGAGGTCTTCTGGCGGCCGCTGGGGGAGCTGCGCTGGCTCTGCTCCCCAGCGCGCAGCTGAATGAGACCGGCGACGGTATATGACGTCATATTCCGGCGCCGATCTCATTCAGCAGTGCGCGAGAGCACAGACAGCGCAGCTCCCCCAGCGGCCGCCAGGACAAGTCCCCCAGCGGCCGCCAGAAGACCTCCCCAGCAGCCCCCAGAAGACCTCCCCCTGGTGGCAGGTACTAGTAATGTGTCTGTGTTATGGTGTCTGTCTGTGTCATAGTGTGTCTGTATGGTGTGTGTGTCTGTCTGTCCGTCATGGGGGGTGTGTGTGTGTCTGTCTGTCCGTCCGTCATGGGGGGTGTGTGTGTGTCTGTCTGTCCGTCATGGGGTGTGTGTGTCTGTCTGTCCGTCATGGTGTGTGTGTCTGTCTGTGTCATGATCTATCATGGTGTGTGTGTGTGTGTGTGTCTGTCATGGGGTGTGTATCTGTCATGGTATATGTGTGTTTCTGTGTCTGTCATGGTGTAAATGTGTGTTTAAAAATAGTGTTTTTGCTCACCTTTTTTTTCCCCCCACGCAGCGTGCTGGTCTCCCCTCGACTGGCCCTGCCTCTATAGCGGAGATCATGCAAAACGCCAATCCAATCAGCATCTCCTCATAGAGATGCATTGAATCAATGTATCTCTATGGGGAACGTTCAGCACCTACAGAGTGTGGAGGCCCTGAATGTAGGTGCACTAACACAGGAAGCACCTCTAGTGACCGTCTGAGTGACTGTCACTAGCAGTGTCACTTTGAAGCAATGTAAACACTGCCTTTTCTCTGAAAAGTCAGTGTTTACGTTGAAAAGCCTGTAGGGACATGCTATAGACACCAGTACCACCACATTAAGTTGTGTGTGTGCGTCTGCTAGTGAGTGAGCTTGCTTGCGTGTGCCTGCTAGTGAGTGAGCTTGTGTTTTTATGTCAATGAGCTGATGTATATCAATAAGATTGTTTGTCTATGAGGCTGTGTATCAATGAGCTTGTGTGTGTCATTGAGATGTCAGTGAAATTGCCTGTGTCTGCATGTGAGTATGCTTACTGTATAATTAAAAGTTTTACCCTGAAAGGACCAATATTTTATATTAGAAAAAGCAATTATATATATATATATATATATATATATATATATATATATATATATATATATATATATATATATATATATATATATATATATATATATATATATATATATAATTACTCAATCATCTGTCCTGGCAAGACATAGCCTTACATATTACACGCGACAATATATGGCGCAGTGACTTATGGGGCTGGCACAATTTTTTTTTCCAGGGCTGCTTTGTATCCCCAGTCCGTAACCAACTTGAGTGGGCAAACGCTCATATTCGATGTCTTCTGGAGCTTTGGAGAGGTGTTCTCTTTACGGATGAGTCCCGGTGTCAGGATCCTATCCGGACAACCAGGAACATGTTTAATTTCTTCTGTTTTATTTCATACAGTTCCAGTTTTCACCACTAGCCTCCCTATCCACTGGTAGCCTCCCTAGCCACTAATCACCTCAGTCTCTCTCACCTGCATACACTGGCGTACATACTGCTTTCGCAGGGGTCACAGCTGCGACCAGGCCCGGCCCACCAGGGGGCCCGGGCCGCCCTGCGAACTGGTTATGTATGCCAGTTTGGCAGCCTCTTCTCCTGGGGGGCCCAGGAGCTGCCCACCTCAGGGCCCCCCGAGGCTGGCAGTGGTGTCACCGGGCAGGCAGGCGCGCAAGGGAGCATTATCCGCTGAGCGCTCTATGCCCAGCTCCCTCACGCACTGCAGTGATGCCAGAGCTGGAATATGACGTCACTCCGGCATCAGTAAGCAGTGCGCGAGGGAGCTGAACAGGAGGACCAGTGCTCCCTCGCCGCCTGCAGGACTGGCTGCCCAGCAGCCCCACTGGACCCCAGGGAAATCTGGAATCACCTCAGCACTCCCAAAGGTAGGGAGGCTGGGGGATTAATTTTTTTTTTTACTGTGAGTGTGTATGTATTAGTGTTAGTTTTTGTGTGTCTGTGTGTGTGTCTGTTACTGAGTGTGTTAGTTTGTCTATGTGTCTGCTAGTGAGTGTCAGTGAGTGTGTTAGTTTTTGTGTGTGTGTGCGCTACTGTGTGTGTTACTTTGTGTCTGCTAGTGTCAGTGTGTGTTAGTTTGTGTGTCAGTGAGTGTGTTACTGTGTGTCTGTTAGTGAGTGTGTTTGTCAGTGAGAGTCTATGTTTTGTAAGTGAGTGTGTGTGTGTGTCTGTCACTGAGTGTGTGTCTGTCAGTAAATGTGTGTGTCTCTTAGCTAGTGTGTATGCGTCTGTTCGTGAGAGAGCGTGTGTGTGATTAAAACCCCTTCAGCACTTACCTTACTCCAGCACCAGGCTCCCTTCCACTCCAGTTTTGCGAGTCCGGCATGCATGCTTCCGGAGATCGCGAGAGGATGCTGCTGGATGGACAAGGAATCTGATGGGCCCCTATTTACTATGGAAGATTATATATATATATATATATATATATATATATATATATATATATATATATATATATATATATATATATATAAATAATCACAGTATATTTGTACACTAGGGGTATAGGGACTGGGCCCGTACAGCTATACCCACCCAATGGTGGCCCTGCCATGAGCAGTCCAGGCTTCCCCAGGACCACTGGGCTGGTGACAACCATCACAACCTGTGATGCCCAGGCACTCCAGACCTTAAAGCAACTTCACTGAGATGAAGTTGTTTTGAGGGAAGAGAGTCACTTTAAAAAGGAAATCGGTGACTTTTATTTTTTTTAAGTTAATGCAACATCAAATAATAATTAGAGAACGCTGAATTTATAGAACAAAGCACAGTGTATCTGTATTATATTGAGTCTATAAAACAGAGGGTGTACAATGCAATGTAGTTTGTAAGTCAGTAGACTGCAAAAACTATACATATTTGCTGTTACCTCATAGTATCATGCGCTACAGTGATGTATAAAACAGATGTTTTTCCATGTTATCTTAAAACAGCACAGTAAGCCACAAGCCCCCTAAAGTTTATTGTAGAGTTTATGGTGTAAATAGTCTGTGAGCTCTGTCTCCCAAGATAATGTCAAAACCATTTTCGAATGGTTTGACTTAAAACGTTGGGTTTCCCATGCCCC